AAGACCCATTATGAAATGGGTACCTAAATCCCTATAATTTGTTTTGCAGATGTCACATGTGCACATTTGGTATCTTGACTCCGGATGCTCAAGACACATGACTGGCAATAAGAGGTTGCTCTCCTCATATGGAGAGAAGATTGGAGGAAAAGTGATCTTTGAGGATAATAAACAAGGAGAAATAAAGGGATATGGGGATGTACTACAAGGTAAGGTTTCTGTCTCCAAGATTGCTTATGTCTCTGGGCTTAAACATAATCTTTTGAGCATAAGTCAACTATGTGATTCTGGCTACAATGTCAAGTTCCAAAAGGAAGCTTGCTTCATTATGTTAGAATCAGGTCAGAAGTTGCTTAGAGCTAAGAGAAAAGGCAATCTGTATCTCATGAACTTCTCACCAAGAGACAACTCTGAGACGCTCTGTCTTGTGTCTCGCAAGTGTGAAGAAGCTTGGCTTTGGCACCACAAGCTGTCTCATCTCAATTTCCAAAATATAGAAAAGCTTGTGAGGCATAATTTGGTTGATGTACTTCCTGCCATAAAGTTCGAAAAGGACCATCTCTGCTCTGCGTGTGAAATAAGAAAGCTCAAAAGAACATCCCATAAAACTAAGATAGATGTGTCTTGCGTCAGACCTCTGCATATGCTTCATGTGGATCTTTGTGTTCCAATCTCTATGCAGAGCTTGTCGGGTAAGAAGTATATTTTAGTCTTAATTGATGAATACTCACGATATACTTGGATTGAGTTTGTAAGGCAGAAATCAGATGTCCCAGAGCTGCTAATCAAATTAATGACCAAGATTCAGGTACTTCTGCAAAGCAAAATACAGAAGTTGCGAAGTGGTAATGGAACAGAGTTCAAGAACGCCAAGATCGATGCGTACTTGTACACAGAGGGAATAACCCAGAATTTCTCTGCAGCAAGGACACCACAACAAAATGGTGTCGTAGAAAGAAAGAATAGAACTCTGGTTCTTAGCTGCACGCACCATGCTATCCAGCTCTGGTCTGCCAACCCGCTTCTGGGCAGAAGCAATCTCTACTGCCTGCTTTATTCAGAATAGAGCAACGGTGGTAAAGAGGCACATGAAAACGCCTTATGAACTAATCAACCAAAGAAAGTCTAATATCAAGTTTTTACATGTCTTTGGTTACAGATGCTTCATCCTAAATGATATAGATCAACTTGGCAAGTTCAATAAGAAGGCAGATGAAGGCAAGTTCCTTGGTTATTCAACAAAAGCCAAGGCATACAGAGTCTTCAATCAACGAACCAAGACGGTCATGGAAAGCATCAACGTCTCGTTCGAAGATAAAGAACAATTGACTTCAGAGTACCTCAGCTCTGAGCTCGATCTTAACCAACAGACTTCCAATTCTCAAATGAATTCAAGGGAATTGGAACTTAGGCTCCTATTTGAAGACTTCTATGGTGACAAAGACATCTCTGTAAGTGCACCAAGAGATGCATCTGCGAGTGTAAGTGAAGGTTCACAAACGACAAGCACATCTGACTCTGGTCCTTCACACACCTCTACTTCCTCTGAAGATCATATAAATGCGCAACCAGAGCAAACAAGCTCTGCATCAGAGCCCAGTCACGTAGAACCAGAGCATCATACCTTTGGCTCTGCACCTGGTTCCTCTGTACCATCATTCGAGGGGGAGCAAGCAGAGCCTTCTTCACCATTAATGAGCTTACTGCCAAACATGCCCATGGAACGTGATCAAACATCCCCCACTTCTCTATCTGTCCCAAGAAAAAAATGGACAAAGAATCATCCTCTTCACTAGATCATTGGTGAACCTTCAAGTGGCATAAAGACACTGGCTGCCATAGCTAATGAATGTTTATTCGTAAACTTCCTTAGCATGGTAGAGCCTAAGAAAGTACATGAAGCCCTACAAGATCCTAGTTGGGTCGATGCCATGCAAGAAGAGCTCCAGCAATTCGAGAGAAATAAAGTATGGACTCTTGTTCCTTTACCAAAGGAGAAAATTGCAATTGGTTGTAAATGGGTTTTCAGGAACAAGAAGGATGAGGATGGGATTGTGGTTAGAAATAAAGCTAGGCTCGTAGCAAAAGGCTATTGCCAGGAAGAAGGCATAGCCTATGACGAGACCTTTACGCCAGTAGATAGGCTTGAAGCTATGCGCTTGTTCTTAGCCTTCTCTACACATAAAGGATTCTGAGTCTATTAAATGGACGTAAAGTCAGCCTTCTTGAATGGTAAGCTGAAGGAAGAAGTCTACGTTCAACAACCTCCGGGGTTTGAAAGCTCCACACATCCAGAGTATGTCTATTTCTTATACAAATCTTTGTATGGACCTAAGCAAGCACCTCGAGCTTGGTATGAACGTCTCTCGTCTTTCCTCTTATCTAATGGTTTTGAAAAAGGTAAAATCGACACAGCTTTGTTTATTAAGAGGTATAAAGGTGAGATGCTCTTAGTACAGATATATGTGGACGACATCATCTTTGGTTTAACGAACCAGAGGCATTGTGATAAGTTCTTTGCGTTAATGAAGAGCGAGTTTGAAATGAGCATGATGGGAGAATTGACCTTCTTCCTMGGCTTGCAAGTAAAACAGAGGGAGGATGGTATCTTCATTAGCCAAGCTAAGTATGTCTCCAACATATTAAAGAAGTACCTACTCCATAACTCATCCACCATGAGAACACCAATCGCTACGGGTACTAAGCTTGACACAAATCCATCTCGTAAGCCGGTGGATGTTAAGACTTACCGTGGAATGATTGGATCACTACTATACCTCACGACTAGTAGACCAAACATTATGTGTGCCACATGTCTCTGTGCCTGCTTTCAAGCAAATCCAAAGGAATCTCACCTTTCAGCTGGAAAAAGAATCTTTAGATATGTTAAAGGGACTCAATTTTTGGGTCTTTGGTATCCAAAGCATTCTGGTTTCGATCTTATTTCGTACACAGATTCTAATCATGCAGGCTGTAAACTCGATCGAAAGAGTACATCAGGAAGCTGCCAATTACTTGGGGACAAGCTCATAAGCTCGACCTCGAAAAAGTAGAACTGCGTCTCTACTTCCACCGCTAAAGCAGAGTATGTAGCTGCAGCCAGCTGCTGTTCCCAAGTGATATGGATGAAGACTCAACTGAAAGACTATGGCGTAGAGTTTGAGAAGATTCCAATTTTGTGTGACTCAAAAAGTGCTATCGTAATCACAGCCAACCCTGTGCAACACTAAAAAACAAAGCACATCGATGTTCGATATCATTTCATCAAGGACCATGTAGAGAAAGGCATGATTGAAATGTTCTTTGTAAATACAGATTAACAACTTCCTGACATCTTTACAAAACCTCTTGATGAAAAGAGATTCAATTTTCTAGTTAACAAGTTGGCTATGCTAAATCTCTCAAACTAAACTAGAGCATCTGTATGCACTATACAGAGCCTCTGCATCCCTTGATGCATACCTCTATTTTTATTTGTATTGATCCATGAGACAGAGCCTCTGCATAGTTCTTGTAGAGCCTCTTACTCGTCTCCTAGTTCTTTTGTAATACAGAGCCTCTGTACCTCGATAATTATGCATGTACTCTACTTATCACAAATGATCCAAGCATAGTTCAAAGGGGAGCAGATAAGAAAAGCTCAACTCAAGGGGGAGCACATCATCATCTCATAACAGAGCCTCTGTATGTACTACATAGAGCCTCTGCGTTAAAACTCATGATTATAGAACAAAGCCTCTGTATGTGCCATACAGAGCCTCTGCCTCTAAACATAGCAAAGTTTTCTCCAGAGGACATGTATAGTCTAATCACGAATCTCTGTCTGAGATCCTAAGGTATGTCTTCTTCTGCATATAGTTCTCTGRTTCTAATCAAAACCTCTACTTTTCTCGAACCAGAGCATTTACACTTAGAAATTTTTCTTGTTGCTTTTGAAAATTAAAGTAGATTATTTAATTAAAAAGGTGTAAAGTTTATTTCAATTGTTTAATAAAAGCTATTACCCACAATAAGCATCACCGCCTGTGAGCTTATCTTTTCAAACGTGGGATGCGCCACTTGCAGCTGGCAATCCACGTGGCAAGCCCCCACAGGCTTTGAGAAAACTGGTTCAGTTTTACCTGACGTTTGGGGCGCTAAAACACTCAAGTGTTTTATTTATTTTTTCTTATTTAAACAATTTTTTTACCCCCAAATTAATCTTTTACGCTTACAAAATTTCTAAAGAACTCCCGTCGTCTTCAACCTTTCAACCGCCATTGCCAGACCTCAAAGCTCTCAAACCTGTGCTTAAAGATTGTTTCAATTTTCAACCAATCATCCTGTTTAACAAGTAAGTACCACAAATACATTCCATTATCCCATTTCTTGATTCAAGAACTATTTCTTGAAACCCTAAAAATCTGTTATCTCTTTCCAAACCCAAAACCTGCAACAATGTCCTCCTCAGAATCTGGAAACTCCCAAACTCATACCACAACCCACAAAACCATGGAAGATACAAGTTAAAACCTAGTTCCCCTCCCCATCAAACCAAATAACCATGTCCTAAACCTTCAACTTGACAACTTCGACCCCAGATACCATCCCATCATAAACATTCTCCAAAACCACTTCTTGAACCCAGCCTTGACCAACACCAATGACCTGGTTCGTGAGAGATATATACAAGAATACTAGCAATCCTGCGCCATTACTGAATCTCAAAGAGGGATCAAAGGCAATTTCTTCGTCTTTGCCACACAAGAATTCGTCACAGTTCGAATTTCAAGATCCTTATTTTCACGAGTTCTGGAAATCCCAACAAAAACTGACCTGGGCTTTCTGAATACGCCCCTCTCCTTTCCGGGGACAAAATTGTAACTTTCCTGAAGTTCTTGGGATACAACAAGGCCATTCAATACCCGTCACAATATCGCCATCAATACTTACCACCGATGTGGAATACACTTTTCACATTGGTCAATCGCTCGCTGACAGGGAAGATAGGGAGCCTCGATATGTGCTCCCCGAGCATACTTCAAATCGTCTACGACATTTTCTTCGACTTGTCCCTCGACTACTCCTTGATACTTTACACCGAGTTCAAGGCCGCTGTGGCCAAAAAGTGTCAAGAAGTGGCCAAAGGAAGACACCTGCCATCCTTGTTGTTTCCCCGATTCTTGGGTCTTCTCCTACCACCAGCTCTTGATGACAACAATATTGATGTGGGTCGTCTACCTCCTCACAAGGTCAATGTACTCACTCAATACAGACCAACAATGCACAAGGAGGGTTATGAAGCAAAAAGGCCTATTCCAAAGAGGCTCATGAGCTACATGAAGTCTAAGGAGATTAGGAGAGCGTACAGACATACACGCGAGACACTAGAACCAGTGTCTCGAACCCCGGTACACATAGGAGTAGCCGAGGAAGAAGAGAGAAGTAAGGATACATCAATGCCTCAGGCCGAGGGAAAAACGGTAAGAGTAGGAGAAGAAAGAATGAGAGCTAAGGAAGAGAGGGTGAGAGTACTACAAGAACGAGAAAAAGAAAGAAAACAAGAGGAGGCAAGGAAAAAGAAATCTGAGAGGGTGAAGAAGAAGAAGGCTGAGGCAGAACGAGCAGAGGAGGAGAGGGCAGAAAAGGCTCGTCAAGCAGAAATTGCTCGCCTAAGAGAAGAGGCCAGACTCATAGCAGAAGAAGAGGCTCGTCAAACCTTGGCTCAATCCTCTAGTCCAAACCAAGGGGATGACCAAGAGCACTATGATGATGCTGCACGGTCTTACACAAGTGAGGGAAGTGAAGAAGAGGATGAAGAAAATGACGAAGAAGAGAGTGAGGGAGATGAAGAGGAGAGCGAGGAAGTAGAAGAGGAAGAAGAGGGAGGAGGTAAAGCAGTTGCTCTGCCTCAGGGTGGGACAGAGCAGCCTAGGCCAAATAAGCACATCAGATTCACCTACCCTACTACAAGTGCAACCACATTATCTGACTCTGGTGGTCGAGACATGGAGATCATTGAAACAGAGGCGCACACCTCGAACCCTAACCAGCCTATCCAACCAGAGGTCGCATATGTCTTTGGTATTCTTAGCCAAAGGGAAACCATGCCACAGGGAACACCCTCTCAAAAGGGTGTAACCTTTGAAAACATAAGTGATATGTCTCCCCATATCACGCCACTTTACTATACAGAGGAATTTGTTTCCTCTGCACAAGTAGACCCCCAACCTTGTTCAGAGCAAGGAATAGGTGCACCAGACTTTGAGACTCTCGACCAGTCTCCTCATCCACTCATGGAGAGCCATCTGGCTGGCTCTGAACCAGCCTTGGGTCCTCTCCCTGACAGAACAAAAGTAGTGAATTCTCTTCAAGGAGAACCACAAGGATCTTCTAGAAGTCCTTCCCCGACTAACGTCAATCAGGTCGTTAATGAAGGTGTCCCTGGAACGGGGACTCAATCTGGCCCATGTGTTGAGCCAGAGGTTACAACATCTGCATATGTCACTAGGGAAGAGTTCCATTCCTTTTTCACCTCTATGTGATGCTCCTTGGAAGAGCTAAAACTCAGCATGGCCCATGTAGAGCCGTCACCTTCTACACCTGCTCTGGATGAGATACGAGCATCCTTGGCAGTACTAAGAGCTGAGTCCACGACAAATGCTTCTCGTATTGACACTTAAATGGAATTGACGGCAACCAATACAGCAACATTACAGCAGGTCGTTACATCTCTACAGAGGGTTGAGGCGTCTACGTCGATCAACAACCAGGCCCTCATACCTTTGAGTGTACCTGTAGACTATGTCACACATAGCGCCATGAATGCTCTGGGTGACAAGCTCCTACAGAATGTGGCAGACTTGACTGCAGATTATAATAGCAAGGCCATAACAGCAGCAAAGAACATCAACGACACTCTCGCACGATTCAACTACCGTTCAGATGATGAAGTGCGAAGGGTTGCCATTGCAGTCGACGAACTCCTCAAGACCATCGAAGAGGTGATCAAATCCATGTCTCGAGCAGAGGCTGAGTAAGAGATAGCAAGATCCATCTCCACGTGTTGAACCGTCAAAGAGGAGGCGACTTGACGATGATGAGGACCCAGACGAGTCTCGTCCTCAAAATCGCCAAGAGGGGGAGAACCTGCCTACAACCACACCAAGTACAACACCTCTGTCTAGCCCCTCTACACCATCGTCCTCTGCCCCATGCCAACAAGGTCAAAATCTATCAAGGCAGAGAAGACAAAGCCAGCCAGTGCCAGACAATGCAGAGGTGCTACGCAATGGAAAAATGCCCATGGCGTCAGAGGCAGAGCCAACCGGGCCACAAAAGACTACAGAAGTGATCGACCTTCTATCTTCCTATGGATCAGATGATTCAGATCTGGCTATGTCCTCTTCAACAGAGTATGCTATGGACGTGGCTGCTCCCTCAAGAACAGCTCAACAAGAAGAAGAGGTGGTCACCGTGAAAGTGGCTGATCCGTCACTACTACACATTCTGGTTGCCATTCTTCTAGAAGAAGTAACCATTGCTGCTCCTCCACCACATCCAAGAACCAACAGAGCTAAGGTCCCTGCTCAAGGGACCTGGATTGTCACTCTTGTGATGAAGCAAGTACTGGTCAATCCAAACAGAGCAAACTCAGAAGGCACAACGAGCGGGAAAAAATGGAAGCATCCCTCTGATCGTGTCCAAAGGATCAAAGCAAGCATGGATGCCATGTTCAAAGCAACACCCCTCGACAAACCCATCAAGGACAAGGCAGATAGCAAGGAAATCTACTAGTTCCTCTACAACAAAAGGGAAGAGACACCGGTCCAGAAGATCAGTCTCCATCCTATGGCTCAAGAGCACATCAGGCAGAGATTCCTCGATTGCTATACTCAATCAATCACTGCAGTCCACTTTGCTGATGGAATAAAACAAGTCCTGGACATAAAGAAGCGCACATTTGTGCATAATCAGATAGTGTTCTACGAGTACACAGTTGAGAGGACTCACAGACGGATATGTAGGTTCACAGATTGTGACCTCATTAATCTAAATCCATGGGATCTTCATCTGTTCTACTTTACAGACCACAAGAAGGACAAGGGAGTGAAGTTCGCTATTGCCAACTCTGCCATTCGCCAAACAATGACAGATCTGCTTGACAACAGAAGCAAGTTCGACTTCCATCTAGCTCTGGATCTAGGAGTGGATCAAATGACAGTGGCTGTCCCAAATAAAGAATTACATGGCATCAACAACATTCCCTCCTCGACGGTTCTGGTGGAACCAGAAGTGGGGGTGGTATTTTGAAACGAGCATAATTAGAATATCTTCTTTTGAGACAACCAAAATTACAAGTACTCCAACTCTACTCTGCGCTATATAAGAGACAATCTGGTCAGGAGCAGAGACAACTCCCCTGGAGCCAAGGAGCGTGCCAAAATAATTCTAAGGTCGATCCAAAATATGCTTGAGTTTCGTGAACTTCTCAAGAAGTTCATTAAACTTCAAAATGTTTAAGACCTATTATCTTTTGTAAGTACCTTCTTATTTTTCATTCAATGTAATTTCAATTTCAATCGTATTGTACTTCATTAGATAATCGTATTGTACTTCATTAGATATTCAATTAGATCTGTATTCATTCTTATTTACACTTAGGGGGAGATTGTTAGACCCCAAACTTGTAAAAGTGTAAATAAGAAGTATCTTGCTCTAGTCAAATAGGACTTAGTCTATTGAAGATGTCTAGCTAAGAGCTCCCATCAAAAGAATCAAGGACCAGAGCTCTTACTCAGAGTGAAGGTTTCGTTATACAGAGACCGCACTCTATCTCACGTGAATGTTCAAGTCTTGTGCGCCAAAAATCATAAGCGCTTGACTCAAAGCAACAACTCCAAGACCCAGAGCCTCTGCATAGTACATGCAGAGCTTCTGCATATGCAGGGCCTCTGCATAGTACATGCAGAGCCTCTGTATGTTCATGCAGGCATTTGGCTACCTTTTTCACGGAAAGCGCGCGTTAGCCCAGACATTGTCACAAGCGTCTAACAACTTAAAGGTGGCTTGACCAAGTCTGCTCCACTAATCAAGGAAAGTCAGAGATAAGGATGCAGACTAGTCAGCACAAAGTTCCACGCCTAACTTATAGCGTAGTTAGTTAGACCTAGGTGTATAAAAGAAGGCCTCCGCCTCAGGTTCAAAAACCTGAAGGAGCCAACTTATACTATACGCAAATTCTTGTGAGATTACGTTTGTTCTTCAATTGTTCATATTTTATAAATAAAAGTATTCGGTTATTTAAAGCATTATTTTACTGCTTTACGTTTTTCTTTGAATATCCAGTTTAATCAATAGAAATACACTGTTGTTCTTGATTCTTATTTTAAGCAAACAATATTTCTACAAATCTAGAGTATCTGGGTCCAACAAGATTACTTGTATAAATAGGTTTTATATTTCTTCTAATCGTTAACGTTTTCATTTCATTAAAATCAATAATAGTGAATCCCTTGACACTCCAATTATTCTTTGAATGTTCTTGAGTTGTTCATCATTATTTACATCTAATACGATATATTTAGGTTATTCATAACTTGAATATTCGTGTTATTGAGAGATCTAGGATCAACAATTGGTATAAGAGCCAATTGATTAATTTTCAATCAAAACGATCAATTTGAATTTGAATATTCAAAAATCTTTCAATTCTCCATTCATAAAATTCATGTTCTTCTCTTCCAAAATCGTGTTTTTCTCTTTCAAAAAGTTCTTATGTCTAACTGGAATTCTGCATATAGTGTGGGTTCCCTCACCAAACCTCTAACTCTTTAACATGAAGAGTATCAACAATGGAGGATTCGAATGGTGAACTTCCTGGAGGGGATGGACAAAAATCTCCTCAAATCTGTCATGGAAGGCCCATATGTTCCTTGGACTATTTTTCCAAGAGTTCCTGGAACAAGTTCTATTGCAGAAGTTGCTGCCTACTACATGATGAAAGACGAAAATAACTGTGATGAAGATGACATAGAACATGTAGAGGCAGACAGGAACGCAAAAAGGCTGATCATCATAGCCATTCCAAACGACATTTTCCAATCTCTTGATGCTTGTACAACAGCAAAGGAGATATGGAATGAACTGGCAAGTCAACTTGAAGGACGTGCAAAGACAAAGAAGAACCATAGGGCGCAGTGCTTGAACGAATACACAAACTTCAAGGGATTGCCTGATGAACCAATTCAAAAGACTTATGATCGTTTCAACACATTGATTAATAAATGTCACAGAAATGACATCGCCAGGACCAAAGAAGAAAACAACGTCCTATTCCTCAAAAGTCTCGGCGATGAGTGGACTCAATGTCTATGAAACTCTTGCTGCTCAAGAAAAGGATATATTGAAGAGGAAGGTGTCCATCGGTGGACCTCTTGCTTTGGCTGCAGAAGAGAAAGAGGTTATAAGGAGTTTTTTCAGAGACCATAAGAAAGAAGAGAGGACAGAAGAGAAGTAGACGGAAGGAAAGATGGTCTTCGCTGCTACAAATGTGGGAAGATAGGCCATTTCTCCAAAGAATGCAAAGGACGACTGGTCAAGGATGCTGACTATTAAAAGAACAAGTACAAGTACAATCCTAAAGTGCGAAGCCTGATGGCTGAAAAAGAAAATTGGGTGTCTGATTCTTCGTCCGATGAAGAAGACAAAGCATTCATATGCCTTATGGCCAAGTCCACTGCAGAATCCGCCTCTGACTCCGATGACTAGGTATGTGATTCTTCCCTCGTTGAAACCAACTCTGCTCCATCAGAGTTAGAGTTAAGGGTGATTAAACTTTCAGAAGATTTTCTCAAACTAAAAGAAAAACTAAATTTTAAAAAATTTGAAAGATTAATAGCTGAAAAAGAAGTCAGTTTCTACAAAAGAGAGATTGATCTTCTCACTGAAGAAAAGGCTGAATTGGTTAAAGAAAAAACTCGCATTGTATCATTGAAAAAATTAGAGGAAGAAAAACTTATGTATCTGAACAAGAAATTAATTAAAGATTTAGAAAAGATGGTAAAATCCTTGAAAGAATCTGAGGCAGAAAGACTTAATTCAGTGGCTCTTAAAGATTTCTTTCAAAAAGAAAGTGATATTCTTCATTAGAAGCTTCAAACCAATGAACTCTTGATGAAGAAATACAGAAAAACTAAATGGACAAAAGGATTACCAAGGAATTGGATTCAATGATCTTGACTCTTTCATCGAGACAAATAAATCCACCCTTGAATCCACTTTTAAACTTGGATGTTATCAAAAACCCGACTTTTACCCAAAACCAAAGCAAATTTCAAAAGGGTTAAAGTCGATGGAAAAACTGTTCTCTTGAGGCAAAACTTTGAGAATGTGGTTTATGAGGGCAACACAAGTAAGAACTCTAATGAAAAGGATGATGCCTCCAAACCAGAGACCGATGGAAACCTTATGGTTAAACCAGAGACCGATGGAAACCTTATGGTTAAACCAGAGACCGATGGAAACCTTATGGTTAAACCAGAGCCTCTTGTTATCAATCCCAGAAGTTCATCAGCAAGTGTTGTCGATGGAACAAAAACTCTTAGTAAGGAACCATCATCTGATGGATCGATGAATAATTCAAATAACATTGAAAGTTCATCTGAGAAATCAGAAGCGATGGAACTCCCAATAGACCATTCTGAACCATCAACCTCAGAACCCCTCACTCCCAAAAACATCCATGAAAATTTTGACTTTGAGAAATTTGCAAGAGATTTTCTTGATTCTGACTCTAAAGAAGAAATAATTTGTGAATCACCAAAGATCATTGTGGATAAGAAACCTCAAACTTCAAAAACCCAAATGAAATCTGAAATTCCAGAAGCTATGAATTCTTCAGATAAAGGAAAAGGAAAACTGAAAAACGTTAAGTCTGCCAAAGATACTTCACAAGGCCCAATCCGTCAATCTAAATTTATTAAGTTTACTCCTAAACAAAAACAGAAGTGGCCTCGTTCCGAAAATTCTAACCTGAATT